GCACACGTACTTACGTAACATAGATACATTAAAGACATTGTGAACACTGGATAACTCGAGAGGTAAGGCTAAACGATACGCAACATCGCCCACTCGCTCGAGTACTTCGAACGGGCCAATGAACCGAGGGTGTAACTTTCCTCTCTTCTCGAATCGAACAACTCCGCGAAATGGACTAACTCTGAGAAAAGCGTGCTCGCCAACCTCGAACTGAATATCTCGTCGATGATGATCGGCGGTTGATTTTATTCTGCTCTGACTTGTTCTGAGTTTCTGCCTGATCAACTCGACTTGCTCGGCTGTCTCCTCGATCAATTTCGGACCGAGTACTCGACGTTCACCGACGTCGTCCCAATAAAGAGGGGAATGACATTTACGACCGTATAGTGCCTCATAAGGAGCCATCTGAATAGAAGAATGATAACTGTTGTTGTACGCAAACTCGACGTACGACAATAACGACTCCCATTTAGCACCCCTGTCAACAATCAAAGCGCGTAACATATCCTCCAACGTCTGTATAGTCTGCTCCGTCTGTCCGTCAGTCTCGGGATGGTAGGCTGAACTGAAGGCTAGCTTTGTACCCATCGCCTCGTGTAAACTCTTCCAGAATCTTCTGGTGAATCTGCGTCTCTGTCTGACACGACAGTAACAGGTACTCCATGGAGTCGGACGATCCCACGGACATAAATCTCAGCCAACCGATCCAAAGACATACTCATCGATACTGGCCAGAAATGAGCAACCTTAGTCAATCTGTCGACCATGACCCAGATAGCGTCGTGATGTTCAGACGACCTTGGTAACCCCGTGACAAAATCCATCGCAACCTCCTCCCACTTCCACCTCGGAATCGGCAGTGGTCGTAGAAGGCCTATGGGACTCTTATGCTCGGCTTTGACTTGCTGACAGGTTAAACATCTTCTTACAAAGTTGGCCACGTCTTTCTTCAATTCTCTCCACCAAAACGACCCTTTCAGGTCACGGTACATCTTTGTACTTCCTGGATGGGCTAGATAGGGTGCGGTATGAGCCTCAGAT